TTAGATATCCGCACTGATTGTTGCCTAGATGATAAATATGAGCAGAACTAGGCTAATGCCATGCCCGAAATACCAATTTCTTCAAGCCTACGGATGAGGATACTATGCTCAATGGTATCAAATGCCGCTGACAGATCAAGAAGGTACACTGTTAGTACACAGAGACCATTGTCCAAGGCATGCATAATATCATTGTTGACTTTCAGGGTTGCCGTCTCTGTACTGTATGATTTGCGATAAGCGGATTGAAAAGGATGAAATAAGTTATTGGAAGATAGGTGCTTTACTAAAGCAGAGACAACGACCTTCTCAATAATTTTTGACATGAACGATATATTTGTATTAGGCCGAAAGCTAGAAAGTAGATTGGTGTTCAACGTAGGCTTCTTGAGCATAGGTATTACTAGGCCTAGTTGAGAGATTCCGGAAAGCACCCAGTTGAAAGAGATGAATTAATGATAGTTCGCACGACAGTAACAAAGGTGGGTAGACGAACTAACAATTTGGAAGGGAATGGATCTAAATCGCATGATTTAGGAACAAGACCATGAATAAGCTTGTTGACATCATCATCGGTCAGCGATTCAAAAGAGTCAAATTGTTCTAACTGTGAAATAAAATGGTTTGCGTGCATCTCCATGGATGGTGATGCGTTTCCTTAATTTTTTCATGGAGCAGTCTAATTTTATGGATGAAAAAACTGTTGAAATCAGTTGCCAACTGGAGGTTGGAGTCAGATGTGGGAAGCCTTTCACTATCACGTTTTCCTAATAACTTCTTTGCCAGCTTAAAAAGTGCCTTTGGTTATTGCCACATTCATCAACTTGAGTCTGTATATATTTTTCTCGCGCATTACCTGATGGTATTCAGAACACTGCATTTTTTGTATTGTTTAAGGTCATCATTTGTTCTTGGACCATATGCGTTCGGCAGCTCGTTTTTTACGTTTTGCCACTCTGCATGCATCATTGAACCATTCGGATGACGTTCTAACTGAAACGGCTTTGCTTTTCAACGGGGCAACTTCATCTCTGATAGAAATAAGAGTAGAATTGTATTCATGGATCGCAGAATCGACATTAATGTTATTGTTGAAATGCGTGAAACTAGATGCAATTTTACGTTGAAGTAAAGGAAGATCAATATCATTAAAAGTTCTGAAAGAAATGCTGTCTATTATTTAGATAGGCCTAATAATGATTCATGATATTTTCTATTCAATTGTATATTTTTAATTGTGGGATAAACCTATAAACAGAACAGAACAGAACCTGGTTGTGATCAATATAAGTCTTTAATTTTATTGATCACGCAATAACAAAATTTTTGTTGTACAGTATTTGTGTTGTAGTTTATTGGAGCATATACGTATCCATTTTACGCCAAAAAACATAAACACCTCCCTCGAATAAACTCACCCCTCAAAAACGCTTTTTAACAATAAACGCCCCGGGTGTTTATTCGGATAAAGATGGAAAATGAAATAGCAATACAATAACAACAATAATACAGGAACAACAATAAAGTGGTATAAAGCGCGTAATGCAGTACCTGCAATTTGAATCGATATATTACATTGATAGATTTATTTTTAGTATAAGCCTAATAAATTATTCAAAATTGGTATACGCCTGGTTGTTCTTGCTTGCAAAAATAATTAATCGATTCGGCAGATTATGTTACTATATTTGTGAGTAACAACACCCACTATTAGCTGCAAATAAACATTGTTAACAGTTGGCAAATTCCTCGCCTGTATTACATAGCTAAGTATACTGTTTTTTAAACGGAAATCGTTCAAAGCATCTTTGCGTCAAGTTCATAGATATATAACCGTACAGAATATTAACTTCTACTTGCGTCATGTTTATTCTGAGGTTTATATTCATATTGATTTCATGTCGTCAAGGTACGTTAAAACTCAAAACTTTTCTTAACTTTTTAAAAAAGCAAAAAAAAAATCCTTTGTTCTGCAGAGTTCTTCTCAGAGTTCTCACAGAATCGGTGTTAAAGTTCACGTTAAGTATTTCCACTGCAAGAGCGTTTTTGTTTAGTAGTACTGTAATGGTTTTAATGTTTATTTTAGTAGAGTCAATGTTTAAAAAAGGGTACCGGTATTATTAGTAGAATAAGTATTTCGATAATTGTTTATTTCAATCCCATCCTTACATAGATATGCTATATTCTGATTTGCCTTGTTACCGTCTATTTATGTTTTATGATACAAGTTGCGTGGGTCTGTGTAAATAATAATGAATTAATTGATGAGCTGAATAAATACATTAAATACATTGAAATCCTAAGATATAGGCCTACTAGTACAATAATGTAAAGTTAGGGAAGTAAAATAAATATAAAATTTAAAAAAAAAAGAAAAAGAAAAACATCTAATCGAATTCCGATGAGCATTAGTAATTCCTTTGTCATCCTCACACGTGAATACAAACGGCATGAAACTGTCCTAAATTATAATATCCCAACCAACAAGTAGAGGCATAACAACTGGAAATTTAAACGATGGATATTTTATAAACTGTATAACTCAATACCGTAACTAGCATTAATTTTGTACTTGCCTTAACGTGATAACAATGATCAACAAACTTTGTTAACTTAGATCCATTTTGATAATAAAAATTTATTCTGAATATTTTCTTTGTAAATTATTTCATGGTAAAATCTCAGTTAAATTCTGCCAGTCAGGAGGTGCTGAAAATCTTCGGTTTGAGGTGAAGAAGCTATGTGCTACAATATCACTGTTCCCTGTTAAACTAACAATTTTATTGAAAATATAATAGCCAAAAAGAATGTAGGTGTGGTCCATCTAAATTATGTTTGAAATGTTAGTTGGCCTAGGTCTTTTAAATATTCTCATACAATGTTAAATGAATGAATATTAATTTGAAAAACAAGATACAAGAACCCACTCATTGCCCCTCATTTTAGGGGGCTTTGGTGATACTTCCTATTTACTATTAGTACCGAGCGCGATGAGTTAATGATTGCAATGTATTTTATGTTAATATTATCTGAGTGTAATATTCCGTAAACCTCGAAGTGAAGCCCTGGGCTGCTTTTTCTTCTTCTCATGTTTTTTGTTTGTTTTGTTTCCTTGAAATTCATGTACAGTGTATGCAAGGCCGGATCCAGAGATCAGAAAGTTTGGCCGATCAAGATAACACTAACCTAGGGGTCCGGGGGGAATGCCCCCTCGAAAATTTGATGTTCTATACGCCCGACTCAATAAACACTGAGGCGCTTTGAGCGATCAATATTTTTATTTATTTTCTTTTTTCTTGTTTTTTTTTTTTTTTTTTTCCCCCCCCCCCCCCCTCAAATCCACCCCTGGTACGTAATGTACTGTCTCGAAAAAAAAAACAAAAAAAAAACAAAACAATGTTTTTCAAGGCTACTTTTGCAAACTAAAAGGGTGGCTACAATTTGAGATCGGCTTCTTCTCGAGATTAAGGTCATTGGGCTTCTATTCGAGGTTTTACGTTATTGCCGCATAATGCCTGTTACCATACTGTATTGACGAATTAAGCGTCACGCGATTGCTTTCAGCCAATGGGCAGGTCTCATGCGCTGAGCTGAAACAACAGGGAGATCTAACGAATGGGATGAAAAATATCAACCCAGAGGAGATAGACGGAGGGAACGTGTTGGTTGAATGTATATATATAATATTAATATATAATATTCTAATCAAGTTTGCTGCGTAGCACCGTAAACACAATATAAACAAATATGCCTATATAAATAATAATAATGAAAGTATATACTCGAATATAGGAACATGGAATAATTGTATCAAGCATAGCTCATCAACGAAAATTTATGTATATATATATATATATATATATTATATAGGCCTATATATGAAGACGTGTCCACGTGTGCTTGAAACATAAAATATATAATACAGCGTAACAGTACTGAAACTCAAAAATGTAACAGGTAAAATGTCGACTTTGGAAACACTAATATTTATTGATGCGTATCAATAAAATTTAGTGTTTTTACAGTTAACATCTTACGTATTTGAGTTTCATTACTGTTATATATAAATATATATATATATATATATTGTTATATAATATATGTTTCATTACTGTTATATGTGTATATATATGTATATATTGGCCTATATTATAACATCATGTATTTACATAAAATACTGTATTTATTGTATGTACGTTTATAGAAAGATTACAATTTAACATTCTGCTCGTACATGCAAGTTAAGTAGGCCTGACCTTGTGCAGTGTTTAAATTAGTTGACATTTTAAAATTTAAGTCAATGTTTTATTTCTAATGTTTGAACGTGTTTGTATGTATGCCTCTCCTTGTTTGGAGGTTATTTTTGAATAAATTGAATATAAAGTGAAATATATATATATATTATCAGGGGCGGGTCCATCGGGGGTCACGAGGGCCCCGTTCCTTCCTGACATCGACTGTAGAATCATATTGATCCAATGGGGGTGTAGTGCCCAAACGGCCAAGTCCACCTAAAAAAATTTAAATAAAATATTCAAATTTTAAGTTTGAATGAGTGCCATTTCCGGCCATCTAGAGGTGCCATAATGACAATTTGCTTTGCAACTCCCTAGTATAGAATATAGAATATAGGTCCCTGATTAGACCTTTGCGACGCCCGTGAGATGAGGGGTGTAAGGGAGGAGGAACATAGCTCCCGTTGGGAGGAAGTCGAGGAATACTGCTTTGAAAAAGCATTTTTACCGTCTGAGAGTGCCATTTCCGAGCGTCTCGATGGGCCTATTCTTAATATGTATATATATATATATATATAGTATATATATATGTGTGTGTGTGTTTGTGTGTGTGTGTGTGTGTGTGATCGGGGGTTCGAGACCAACGCTCGTCGCATGTGCTTCTGTCCTTGGGCAAGGCACTTTACGTTTGCCTTGTACGTTTGCGCGTCAAGCAGCAATGACCATATATATATGTTTGGGGGAAGGACTTACGTTTGCATGAGATTTCTCTTGGGGTCGTTGGCATATAATTTTCTGAATCTATACATAACACCATACATTTTTTTATTTTTTAGCGTGAATGTCATCATTCAGTTTCGTGGTTATATAAAAACGAGCCGTATGCGTGGTGGGTGTCAAGAGACGGTATCAATATGTACATGTGGGGAGGAGGGAAAACGTACAACAGGACATGCGCATGCGGAATAACGGGTAAGACATCGATATAAAGAGCCCAATTCATGATGATACTGATAATAAGTAAAGACTCAAAAGATATGAAAGGTGGAAATATATAGATAAAGAAATTAAAATAGTTAAAGATTTTAATAAATATCTTGGTGTCACTTTCGACCCCACAGGAAAGTAGAAAAAAGCGAGACAAATAAATTGCACACAAGGGGATAAAGTACTCTTTGCACTTTAAAATGTAAGAAAAATAATTTTGGTCAACTAAAAATTTGATGTAAAAATTATCCGAGTTATTTTATATGACAGCGAAATATGGGGATTTTCTCAAACATACTGATAATTTCCAGAAATTAGTAGGTATATTTTAGGAATTGGAAAATCGGCACCCGGCGAGACGGTTATGGGTGAATGTGGAAGGTTTTCAATATCGGTAGATTGTATTATCATGGAGTTATTAATGTTATTCGATAAAGTGCACGTTTGATTAATATGAGCGAAGATAAATTATCATAAAATGTTATAATTTTCAGATGCGGAAAAATGAAACAAAAAATAAATAAATAAAACAGCATTTATAATGCGCCGTCTATCTAGCGAACTATTCCGAGGCGCAGTAACTCTTGACGAAAAGAAAAAGGATTTACTAATTTTGTTGTTTTTATATTGAATAGTTAAAAATCCAATACACAGAGGCAAAATTTTGAAATTACCAAGCGAAAAGTATTGAATAATAAAGTTATATTTGCAGTTATAAATAAATATATTTACTAACAAAATATTTAATTGCAATTATATACATACTTTTCCATTTATCTCTATTTTTATTCATTCTATCTATTCTATACTTGTTTCTTGTTTTTATTACTATACCTTGTACTCCTCTTTTCTTTTTAGTTCTATCCCCTTTTAGCCTTGCATTTAATTTCTATATACTTACTTTCTATTCTCTCTTATTCCTTCTCTTCTTCAGTTCATTTTCTTTCTATTCATTTTTCTTTCTTATTCCTTTTCAATCATTCGTTTTCTTTTTTATTACTTTCCAATCTTTCGTTTCCTTTCTTAATACTTTTCAATCTATTCATTTTCTTTCTTATTCTTTTCAATCCTTCGTTTTCTTTCTAGTACAGTAATTTATTTCAATCTTTCCTTCCATTCTATACCTTTCAGTTTCTTTCTTTTGAACTATTTCTTTTCAGCTTTTCGTTTTCTTTCATTTTGTTTCTTTTCCTTCTTTTTTTAAGTTGTTTTCTTTCTTATTCTTTGTCAACCTTTCGTTTTCTTTCATGTTTCTTATTAATATCCCATTTTCTTTCTTATTATTTTTCAATCTATTCGTTTTCTTTCTTATTACTTTTCAATCTACTCGTTTTCTTTCTTCTTACTATTCAATTTTTCGTTTTCTTTCTTATTTCTTTTCAATCTCCCGTTTTCTTTCTTATTACTTTTCAATCTATTCGTTTTCTTTCTCATTACCTTTCAATCTATTCGTTTTCTTTCTTATTACTTTTCAGTCAATTCGTTTTCTTACTTATTCCTTTTCAATCTTTCGTTTTCTTTCCAGAATTTTAATTGTTTCAATATATCATTTCATTTTTTATACTTTTCACTTTCTTTCTTTTGTTCTATTCCTTTTCAGCCTATCGTAATCATTCAATGTAGGGCCTAGTTTCTTTAAATTCTTTTTTTCCATCTTTTTTTTTAGTTGTTTATTTTCCTTTATTTAATTTCAGAGTGTTCTATTTATTTCTTTTCCTTCTTCCTCCTGTCCCTTTTTTTCTTTCTATTATTCCTTTGCTGTTCCTTACCTTATTTTTATTCCTTCCTCACAATAGCTTTATTCTTCTTTCACTTCCAGGTTACCTTCATTTTCCAACACAAAGAGATAGGCCTAAACCTTGTTGAGTTTATAAGGTTAAACAAATGATATGTTCTTGGTTTTGGTGAAATATGGTTATCTCAAAGTATGAATGATATAAATATACTATCTTTATTTCTGAAATTAAAAATAGGTATAGAACGAAAGGAATTTTTTGAAAGGATAAATTCATAATCCAAATTAAGATATTACAAAAATGTTCAAGCACACGTTTGGAGTAGATGAATACTTGATACAAAATATTGATTGTAAATATAAGCGAATCTTTACAAAACTTAGTTTGGGTATTTTGGAACTAGAAGTAGAAAGGTGTAGATGAGTAAAAATAGGAAGAAAGGATAGATTATGCAAGTTATGTAACTCAGATAAAATAGAAGATGGATATCATTTTGTTTTAGTTTGTCCCTATTTTATTGACACACAGAACAATATTTCTTCTACATTATGTTAGCAAAACACTTTAATATTTCAGTTCTTTTTATTTAATGTCGTCTAAGATGTGAATATTGTTATTAATTTATTAAAGTACGTATTATAGGAATATATTTAGAAACCCTCACCTAATTTGTATTTATGTTTTATTATGTTAAAAGTTCCGGAGGCTTATATATTGAATGATTTAAGCCTTCGGGCACAGAAGATAATCAATGATAAATAAAAAAACATTGAACAATGGACAATGAACAATACACAAACCATAATAAACAATAAGTAGTAGGCAATATAAAAGATAGGGTAATAAATATCGAGTTAATTGCTAGTTACCGAACTTTATTGCATTTTATTTTAGGAATTTGTGCAAGTTCAGTAGACCTAGGATGTAATTGTGACAACAACGATAACCAACTTAGAAGTGATGGCGGGTTCTTGGTTGATAGAAACCGTCTGCCTGTCACCAAGATATATATAGGCGATGCCGATGTATCATACGAATACAGTTTCTATTCACTTGGTCCCCTGAAATGTCGAGGTAATTATGGCAATGATAACAACAACAGTACGTAAATTATAATATACAATGCATCAACTCGGTAGTGCTAATTTGTACTCGGAAAGTCGAAGCAGGTAGGTCTATGAAGGAGGTATTCCTCCTTGGAATGATATTGCTTTTATATAATTATAACGAATATTGAATATTAGTCGTGTGCATGGAGCAAATATATTAATTCCTCCATGGTCGTGTGGTAGTCAGGGGCGGCGCAAAACTGTTTACTACGAGCAGTTCTAACGTGTGCGAGGGGTTGTACATTATTGTGATCGTAGGGACTGCATGCGCCAGCTCTTCCCCGACAGGGGACTGATACCCCCGACCAGGGGACTGATACCCCCGACAGGAGAAGTACACCCAACGTTGGGACTTTTAACTCAATTATTGGTTTTCTATCAAATTATCCTTTTTAAATAAAGAACCCCATAATTAACACAAAATCTTATAATTTTCATATTATAAAAATATCCCCTACAAATTTAATTGTTTCCCCCACCGTGGTGGTGGTGAGAGAGGGGTTAGGCTTCCCCAAAAATTCCGCCCCAACGTTCGGGGAACTTGGACCCCTCATCGTGGAGTTTCTGGCGCCGCCCCTGGTGTTATTTTAAACATTATTAGAACCAATTACACATGGCCTGAGTCTACAATGTAGGCCACTGTATATTTATCTTCAACAATACCGTGTAAACCATCTAGTAGATGTCTATACTATTCTCTACCGCTTTATGTACATAAATTAGAGCCAGAACTTATTAAATCGGCCCATGAGGCTTAAGAAGTGGAATTGTTTCAGTCATAAGAAAAATTCCTGCTAACTAAGCTATTGAACTCCACTCCACTGAACCCACTTCATAAGGGTGATGAGGATGACAATAACTATATATAGGCCTGATGATAAAATATTAATAAATAATAATAATAATAATAATAATAATAATAATAATAATAATAATAATAATAATAATAATAATAATAATAATAATAATAATAATAGCAATTATAACAATAATAACAATAAAATTGTAATAAGAATGATGATGATGATGATAATGATGGTGGTGATGATGATGATGAGAATGACGATGATTATGAGGATAATGATGATCTGTATCTGTCAGCTACTGCACAACCGCCGTCAATGGTAGGCTATCGTGTGTAGGTGGTGATGATGATGATATTGGTGGTGTGGTGGTGGGGATGATGATGATGATGATGATGATGATGATATGTGATAATAAATAATTTTATTTTTTTAGGGATTGCACCCCCAGCGCTTCGTTCGTGTGCTGAAGTGAAAGCGGCTGGTTTCACACAGACTGACTCTTATCTTCTTGATCCAGACGGTGATGGAGGTGAAAGTGCATTCTGGGCTTATTGTGACCTGGATGTCTATGAGGATGAGGGTAAGGCCTGCCTACTAAAATAAAGGAAAATTTCGTTCACAGGCCAAACATGTGAAAAATTCTTAAATGCTGCAAGATCTCATTGAACATCTTAATTACTTTGGTTTCTTCATTGGCTCATATGACAAATTTGCAATGCTATCTTCTGGCAAATTATATAACTGAAATTCTCTAACATCATAACATCTTAAAACATAACATCTTAAAGTCAAGTTCTGGAGGGGAAAAAACAATTGATATGTTGTACAACTGATTTTCCCAAAGAACAAGCATATGCCTATTTGACGGGAAAATCGGAAACAGTTATACAGATTTTTTTCACTACCTGACTTCAACACAAATCGAAAACATCATTACATCTACCTAATAATGTAAATAAGAAAATACTAGAAAAATTTAAAGACGATGAACAATTTTATGCATGAGACTGTAACATAAGATAAGAGGTTTGGTAGGCGAGACTTATTTCTATATACGAAATGTAAATTATTAATGCCGTATTCAACATATATCAATATTTATGCGTAGAGATTATACTTGGATGTCCATTCCTTCCATGCTAGGCCTACATTATTTTTTATGTCCACTTTTTTATTTTGTAATGATGCTCTAAAACTTTGTTATTTTATAATATTGAACTCATGGATATAAATGCCTTTCTGTGTCAATCAATGACCTTCAACAGCGGTGGACTAGTGTCCCGTCCAGGGGGAGTACAACTCTCATCCGCTTCACAATACAGAAACTGGGGATAAGCTCCAGCCCTATGAGCCCCAGTGGCTCGGAAAGGATTAGTAACAGAATAGTTTTATAAAGAAAGTGTTTAAATTTTGGTCACGATTCAAAGAATAGTGTGGATACTGTCTCTTATACACATCTAGATGTGTATAAGAGACAGACATTATATAATTCTTTTTTGATATTATATTTTCTATGTTGAATTTGGGTTTTAGCCGTGTATAAATAAAAAGATTATAAGGTACAAATAAACCCAACATAATATTTCATATTTCCTGATAAATAATAATATTAGTTACTGGTAATTATTATTTGGCAAATCCTTGGTTATGGATTATTTGTAATTTTTAACCGTTGTTAGTACTACGGTGTTATTACGGTATTAAATATGGAGTACCATTTATACACATAGCATCATCTATTTTTGTGGTCAAATAACCACTAACCACATTAATTATAGAAAAACTGCATTACTAGGCCTATATATGTGCTGTAGTATTATAAAATTGATTTTAGAAAAAAAAATTTAAATCACCATATATTTTAAAGTGGTCTTTAATTGGAAGACAATTTTCAGTTGGCCCGTTTTCTACTTAGCGAATTTATTCGCGCGAATCGAAATTATTTACCCATACGCATGCGCAATTGAGAATCTTGTGATGGAAAATTAAACCGCACATGTGTATCGGCGAAAATTTTCGATTCACGCAAATATATTCGCCTAGTAGAAAACGGTCTCTAAAAAGAGTCCTTAATTGGAGTGGTCTTTTTTTTTTTGGAGTGGTTTTTTTTTTTTTTTTTTTTTTTTTTTTTTGGAAGTACACAAGCCTTTTAAATGGAGGGGTCTTTAATTAAAAGATTTTCTTATCATGATTGTTATCAACTTATTATTATAGCTAGTGTTGCTTTACTTTTTGGTTCAATATTATAATTACATAATATTTAGGTGATGCGCAGAGTACGATTACTCGTGGAAACTCGTGCTACAAAGTGATGAATGAAGCCGTTACGTGGCAAGAAGCTGCAAACTCGTGCCAACGCATGAACGCACATCTAGTCACCATTGACGATGATGATGAACGCGTTTACCTGACCAAGTTAACGCAAGCACTCGTCCCTTTATCGTCGTTCTGGTCTGACGCTGAATGTTCACCTGTTTCCGCTGGTTTAAGTTTTAGTTGTGACGCTTTGATTGGTTATGTGTGCGAAAGTGATGGTGAGTATTGCTTTTTTTGCTATTAGATTGTATAGCTCCTCGTCTATATTCAAAATGATGAAACTATAAATCATATTAGAAGAGGAAACAAAGGAAAGTCAAATAAGCCATAATTTTTTTGTTTTTGGATTCTTTATAGGTGTCTCCAGGTTAAAAAAAAAAGTGGGGACTGATTTTTTTAAACTAATACAGTATTATATTTCTGTGTTTCTCCATTAATGTCACTTTTTCGTCGAACTTGAAATGATTATTTTTTAGGAATAGATCTAATTGATATAGGCCTATTAGAAAATATGTAACTTTGCAACTATTTAACTTGGATCGTTGTCTTAATTATCATATCCAGTTAACGTGTATGTACTGAATGATGCATATAGACTATGGGCCTATGTACGTAGGCACGTATGTATGTGAGACCCCACAGGAAATCCTCACGGACCCACACTAAAATTATTGAAAAAAGAAACATTAAAGAAAGTTCAAAACTAATCACTTTATATCACCATTTTTTCTCAGCAGCGACGGTGGCTCCAGAAATTTGCCGACAAGGGGTCTTGGTTGGCCGACGAGGGGGTGGGGAGGGGAGTTCGAACAAATTGCCGACTTCTAACGTTATTTGGATATGCAAATTATAATTTTTTAAATTCCCCTTCCCCGCACCCCCTACATCCACTTAAATCATCGGCCTTCCCTTAATCTTACCAATAATTACTTATCTCATACGCCACTGTTCAGACTGTAATCGTTCCGTTATGATACTTTTTGGTGTAATAATTTATATATTTTATGTCCTATGAAATAGTCTCCGAGTATAACCATTTCAAGAAGTTTGGATCTGACAAATCACCACTAGAGGGCTCACTTCTATCGTCAAAGACAGCAATCAGTTCTGGGGCATGTAGTTTGCATTGTGAACGGTCTGCAATCTGCAATTCTTTCTCGTACAATTCGGAAACTCATGAATGCAAGATGAGTAGTGAGAGAACCGACTCAAATGCCGTTTCAGAGAACGGTTTTGATTTGTTCATATTACAGACGACATACAAGGAATGTCAAATGCATCTTGGATGAATTTAAAAACTGTGTATTTGTATAGTACATTATAATCGTGTTTTTCGTTCATCATGAGAATATTTCCCGCACGATTAAAATCGTAACGGTTCTCTGGGTTTGGCCTACAGAAGCTCGTGCTTCGTACAGGTCATTCCATTCATATAAAAAGCCTTTTTAATGAAGAAAGTGTACCTCTCATTAGCCATACGGTATAGTAGCTTAGGTCCATACATAACTCCTGCTATATAAAATTTTTAAGATTGAAAAGTGTTAGTCTTGTGACATATGTCCACGTTTTAATTGGTATTCACTTGTTAATATTATTAATTTTAATTATATTATTTATATTTAAATAATGTATTGTTTAAGTATGAATTACTAGTCCGTGTTAAATTAATTTATTAAAATTGTATATTTAAATAATATAGTATAGGCATAGCCTATGCCTAAGATTTAGTGTGTGTAGGCCTAGTGTATGAAATTATTAATAAATATTATGAATAAAAAATAACGCAAAATGTGAAAGAATAAAGGAAGAAGGAAGAATAAGTAAGAAACTCGGAGCGGCTGAAATATTTTCCGAAAATATACAATAATAGTCAATATATCTGCATTACATTTTTGTAACGATTTTAGGCACTAATCATCAGAGGTCTTGGTGCCACAGCCTACACGTTTTATAATTCAACATCGAATCGGACCTTACATGATATCCAAAATCTATTTATATGAAATACAGAATAGTACTAGAAGTAAGTATAAATGTATGATCGTGAACATAATCATGCCGGGTTAAGCGGTAGTGAACAGAATAAAAGTAAACTAATTTGATAATTGGATGTTTGCTGATTGGTTGTAATTTTGTGTTTGAGTTAAAAAAAACATAGGCTCTCTACTGACGACGTAGACTTATATTGATCCTTATATACATCGATAATAGTATAAAGTGATAATTAGGCGTGTACCATCAATAAAGTACCGGCACAACTTATACGAAATAATAATCACCCTTCGATAATATTTCTATAATTATCCTCACATTACTTGAGATAGGTACCACCCGTAATCACCTAGAATCCATGGTATTACTATAATTCTCACATCTAGCAGAAAAATTGAATGACTGTAGTTTTGAAATGACAATCCTCTTGTTAAAGCAAACATGTATAATACATCCCATGTCTCGTTAGTAAATGTAATTACGGTACCTAATTAGCTAAGCATATTCAAATACTTAATATTGAGCTTATTCGACTGGTTCATCTCGTTGAGTATCATCATTCAATCGACTGGTTCGTAAAATAAACTTCGTTGACAACGGAAACGAACGTAAACCAGAGAGCGTTAATCAACGTTAAGTTATCCACGTGACCAAAACAAACATGGGCGATTGGTCAGTTTAGCAGCAATATTTGCGTTAATATAATTTAGATAAAATTTAAAAAAAATAAAAATTACAATATTTACCAACAATGAAGTCAAAAAAATAATTGGAATGTAGGCTAACAGAATTCAAACACTGGATGAAAACATTTTTTAAAGAAAAACCCATACTGCCACAATCCGAAGCAACCTTGATACGCAGCGTGTATCGCGGTAACTATGCAGCCATTTTGTTTTGTCAAATATTTACCAGTTATCTATTCGACTGGTCATATTCATTAAGTAGGATTTTACCAATGTGCAGGTAAAGGAATGGTTGAACGAAGAACGACCAATCGAATACGGCCATTGTGTTAAATAACATACGCCAGGAGATATATGTTTTCAGTTTGTGTAGGTGTGTGTGTGTGTCACGTTTTGGTGTTTTCTTATGTACGACATATCTCAAAAACGGCTACACAGACATAATTGAAATTTTTTTTAGGGAGTGTTAGGTATAACCCAATGAACAAATGATTAAATCTTGGTGACGGTCCGGAGTAGGGTGTGGATGTAAGAAATAATTAAAGTATTTTAGAGCAAACGTTCTAGACAAGATAATATTTCAAAAACTATATTCAACTGATATGAATGAATGTTTGGTCAAAGTTTAACCAAGTTACAAGGAAGACATTATTAAGTGTTGGTGACGATCCAAATTCAGGTGTGAATCTGAGGGTCATTTCCTAAGGTTCCAGACTTAAATATCTCTAAGAATAATCAATGAATCTAAATTTCTTTTTCAACAATAGTTTGTCATGTTTCGATGAACAAGTGTTTTAATTCTGGTGACCATCCGGAGTAGGATATGGATATAAGGACCATTCAAATGAAAACGTTTCAGACCAGATATTTGAAAAACTAATTAACTGATCTAAATGAAACTTTAGTGAAAGTTTAATCCAGTTACAAAGAAGAAATTTTATACTGTTGGAGACGATCAATGAGGGCCATTAGGTCCCAGAGCTGAATATCCTTAGAACTGATCAATGGTTCAAACTGACGCCTTCAAAAATAGCATGTCATGTTTAATGAAGAAGTGTTTTAATTTTGGACATCCGAAGTAGGGTGTGGATATGAGGACCATTTAAAAAACAGGTTTACTGTATATCGTAGGCAGAAACAATAGCTATAATGATAAATATTTAAATTAGTGCAATTACAGGAATGCTGTACAGCGTTTTATGTACTAACACTTTTTTCGGAACTGATTGGGAATTTTTAATGCATCTTTACATTTAAACATGTGACGCTAAAACCAAAACCCCATATTTATATTTGCATAATATTCCATTTCGACACAAATACATGGAATTTTTTTTTTTGTCAAGTTTAAAAGTAAAACGTTTCAGGTGTTACGCCAGAAGATGTAAGGAATTGGCAGGTGTACAACTGATACAATAAAAGGCGTTCGAAAAATTGAGTGATTAAATTTTGCTGTGGATATATGGACCATTCAAAGCAAATACGTCCCAAAGCAGATATCTCAAAACTAATTTGAATGAAACTTCCGTGAAAGTTTTAACCATGTTACAAGGAAGAAATTATGAAGTGTTCGTGACGATCCAAATAGGGTGTGTATTTGAGAGCCATTAGGTCCCAGACCTGAATGGATAAAAAGGACAATTAGCAGTACAGCTGTATCAATGGGTACCAGCAAACTGCTGGGGACTAACCTGCGGTGGACTAGTGTCCCGTCCAGGGGGAGTACAACTCTCATCCGCTTCACAATACAGAAACTGGGGATAAGCTCCAGCCCTATGAGCCCCAGTGGCTCGGAAAGGATTAGTAACAGAATAGTTTTATAAAGAAAGTGTTTAAATTTTGGTCACGATTCAAAGAATAGTGTGGATATGATGACCATTTAAATATTAAGTTTACCGTATTACCGAAGTCAGAAACAATATCTATATGATGAATATTTAAATTAGTGCAATTACAGTATGTACAGCGTTTTACTACTACTATTGTGTTTAACGTTAAATTAAAATAAGGTACTTCCACAGATTTAGAATGATATTTTCAAGAGAAAAAATTATTTTTAAAAATGAAATGAGAATGTTATAAATAAGGAATTACTAATGTTTTACTGTTCTTTTCCTTTTGCCTTGAATGTCTTTGTCATGTTTTTCCTGTAACTTCATATAGAAATTACTGACAGACAGTAAAAAAAAAAAAAAAAAAAAATGTACAGCGTTTTATATGTACTAACTTCAGTTTTTTTCCCCCCGGAACATTTGGGGAATATTTTTAATGCATCTTTACATTTTAACATGTAAAACTAAACACCAAATCCCTATATTTTTATTTCCATAACATTTCCATTTCAACACCAATACATTGCATGTATTTTGTTTGTTAGCTATAAGAGTAAAACGTGCCAGTATGTTAAGTCAGAACATGTAAGGGAATTGGCAGGTGTACAACTGATACATTAAAAAGCCTTCGAAAAATGAAATGATTATATTTTGGTGTCGATAGATATATAGACCATTCAAAGGAAAACGTCGCACATCAGATATCTCAAAAACTAATCAACTCATCTAAATGATACTTTCGTATTAGTGTAATTTTTGTTTAAAGTAGATTGTGGTTGGTTGTTGGAAAGTAGGAACATATTATTGAGGAATTACTTTATAGAAAAAGATTGGCGATTGGCGGAGATAAGCTCTCTACATGGGCCACTGGCTGTCTCTTATACACATCTAGATGTGTATAAGAGAACACCAATACATTGCATGTATTTTGTTTGTTAGCTATAAGAGTAAAACGTGCCAGTATGTTAAGTCAGAACATGTAAGGGAATTGGCAGGTGTACAACTGATACATTAAAAAGCCTTCGAAAAATGAAATGATTATATTTTGGTGTCGATAGATATATAGACCATTCAAAGGAAAACGTCGCACATCAGATATCTCAAAAACTAATCAACTCATCTAAATGATACTTTCGTATTAGTGTAATTTTTGTTTAAAGTAGATTGTGGTTGGTTGTTGGAAAGTAGGAACATATTATTGAGGAATTACTTTATAGAAAAAGATTGGCGATTGGCGGAGATAAGCTCTCTACTCAGTGCTCTTGTTATTACTGTTATTGTCATCATTAATACCATTATCATTGTTGCTCAATCCGTCTGTTATTATTATTATTATTATTATTATTAACCTCATCATTATTCATATTGTTTTTTCGATGCTTACTCAAAACTATTGAGAAAAATTGTATTTGTAAATTAAATTATATAAATAATTTTTATAAAAAATACTATCATAGTTGGCCTATTGTATTTTGTTTAAAAAAGCGAATGTAGCTGTTCTATAATTGGGTGTAATATTCAATATAAATCAATTACTAACCCTCAAGCGCACAACAGTATCCTATACGTTTCCATAGCACCAGTCGATACAATAATAATATACTATAGATAATTTAAATTAATCAATATTGATTAAATTCTAATGATATCAAATTGTAGTTTCTTTAGTTTTCACTATTGGTTGTTTTGTTTTTTCGTGGTCAGTTTGTGAATGCAAGTTAAAATACCTTAATTGATTTGAACAATCCATTCACTGAGACACATTGATGCGTGAGTAGGCCTAAGTGGCAAGGATATCAATAACTGTATAATTCCTTGCTTAGAGACTTGCAGCAACGGTCGAGGACCAACTCCGAAAACCTACTCCGAAAACCTTCATGGCTATATAGTTATGATGTTGCTTATGTGTTTTATATTCTTATTGATTTCCTGTCATAACGGTAAAACTTCTTTTTTATGTTTTAAAATCGCTCTTTTAAGTTTATGTGAACTATTTTCATTTTATGGGTTTAGTTAGTCATAATTCATTAATATCTGAATTATAGTTGATACAAACGTTTGGGCGGCAATTTATAAAGTAGAGCTACTAAAACATTCAACAAGAGCGATATACGATATGCCTAGATCTATTTCTGAACAAACATTAAGAAATGTGTTAGGTTCCATCGTTTAGGAATAATATTATAGTTAACAACTACTCACTGTTTTTGAATTAGGTTTGTCACACTCTCTGTATAGGCTTCATCAGATTAGGTTTCTTTACAGTTAGGTGAAACTGCCATTCAACCAGTGAGTATTACTATCGTTTAATTATAATAAATTTCTCCATGGAACTTACACATTAGAAACCAAAGGAAACTATTTAATTAATCAAACTTGATAGGGTCGGTATTATTTGCCTCGGGTTTTGCGTGATGGACACCTGTGCTTTAAATAATTTAAATCATATTAAAAGATTACGTATACTGTAGCTTTATATTGTACAGTATTACACATTACGAGCGTCACGTGAATGCTTTCAGCCAATGGACAGGTCTCATGCGCTGAGCTGAAACAACAGGGAGATCTAACGAATGGGATGAAAACTATCAACCCAGAGGAGATAGATGGAGGGAACGTGTTGGTTGAATGTGACATGACCTTTGATCCTAATGATGGTAGGTGCTTGTTTGGTTATGAAATGATGTGTTACTAATTAGAGCTTCTTTAGATGCTTAAGACTATAGAAATCGATTTTTCACACAACATAAAGAAACATTATATAATTTATTAGCTTTTTAAAATACAATAACAGAGTACAGAGTACCGAATTAGTTCTGTTTTTTTTTCTCAATATGTGCATGGGCCACTGGGTTCAGTGGCATAGCTAGGTGCGAAAGGACCCCAGTGCAAGATTAATTGCCGGGCCCTTTGATGTGATAGGGGAATTCCCAAAGTTTTCAGAAGATTCATTGTAAGAATTGATTCTTTTACCCCCTACTCTTAAAAGCCTAGATTAGTAAGAAATACTAATATGATAATCGGGCTGTTCTAAACTAATCAAGAAAATTTAAGGCACATAAAATTAAACAATTGCAGTGGCGGATCAGGGAATTCGAAATAGATTGGCCAGGGAGGGATTTTCACAGGTAGAGAATGAAGACCACACCATCCATGGTTGAGGATGGGGCAAGAGAATATATGAATATAGCAACTCTAGATGGCCGGTAAGAGCACTCTCAGACTTATAATATAATGAATATTTCCTTTTTTCCCATATTTTTAATAATTTTGAAAACAAATAGGGGAGGGGGACCGGCCGGCTGGGTCCCCCTTGAATACACTACTGAATTGAAACCAACAAAGTAATCAGTAAATCAGTAATTACTCCTCTAAAAACCGAATATTATTGAGGGGCCCGCTGGCCGTTTTTTCTTCAAAATTAAGGTGGAAAATATTAAAATTATTATTTTTATGTCTATTTTTGAATGGGCTTCTAATATCAGTGGGCCCCAGTGCTTTGCACTGGCTGCACTGCCTGCTGTAGCTACGCAACTGGTTCAGTTGCCGTCTGTAGGACATGTAAATACATTGAAGGATTTTAATACAGAAAATGTATTTATTATTTTGTTTATTAAAACATGTTTAGGCAGGATAATGTTATACAGAACGAGATGTTGAAATTGCTAAATGTGTGGAATTTTTCGATTTTTGCAGAAATTTTGTTCCAAACTTTTGCTCCTGCGTTTTTTTTTTAGTGAGCATACATTTCTCATTATATACGGAGCAGTTGGAATTGGGATGGCGTTACGTGAATGGGAAATATTATTGCATAAGAGAGGAGGTGCAATATCTTTTATACCAAAATGACTGATTTGTTAACTTTATATAGGAATGTTCAGTAGGCTTATACCGAACGATTTTTGTTATATTCACAGGTATAACAGTCATACACCATGACAGTGAAGCACGGACACTGGTTCACGACGATTCATACGGAAACCAGGGATCTTTTGTACGGACAATTACTTACACGGGGTACACGAATGAGCAGATCAAACAATTGATTCAAAAATCAGCATCGTGTGAACAGTATTTGGAGGTTTTTATAATGTTATTCATTCATATTTTATCATTCAGATTTTTATTATTTTTCATACATGTCATAATGCCAGCTAGGTAAATTTACTGATTGCATTAAAACAAATATAAAGACATCATGTAGGGCAAATGAATGGTAACTGAATTTCAATTACGTGCAATTCAATATCTGTATTTTTGATGTCGGCTTTATTTGTATATCGTATTTTTGTATCTATTTCAAATTTTAAATATTAATGATTTTAAATCTAATTGTTTAATGTGCAATCTTGGAACCCATTAAAAATGGACTGGACTCTGGCCTAATGGGCGTTTCTGATGTTCATTAATTTTTACTTTTATTGTTCTCAAATCAGTTTTATATCTAATTTAAATCTAATTTTTTAGTGTGCAATCTTAGACCCCATTAAAAATGGGCTGGACTCCTGCCTAACGGGCGTTCCAGATGTTCATTAATTTTTAATTTTATTGTTCTCAATTCAGTTTCATTGTTTGTGTATTTTGAGCATCGAATAAATTAAATCAATCAATCAAGCAATCAATTAAAGCCTAAAATGTAAGGTCTTAAACTCAACTTGACTGACGTCAGCTTGAACGATGCAAATGTTTAGGATAAGATATTATTTAAATAGTTAAAAAAAGTTAAAAACCATTGAATAATTATTACCTGTATATACGATTTGTATATGTACCTCAGAGATAATAATAATAATGGTCGACTTATAGAGCTCATATCATAGAGACCTCTATGCGCTTAACATAAATAAGAATACAAATATAATGATACTTAACTAATCCTACTCCTTAACTAAGCATGGTTTGGCCGTTGGCTCCAAGGAGTTCATCCGCCCTTTCATACATCGGCATGACTGGTGGTCAATTCTAGACAAGGTACAATAACCATAAGAAATCTTTTAAGAAAGAAATATATAGCAAAGAACCCGAACTATCTAAATACATTTGGTCTTTAAAAGATAATAATATGGGATTCCACATTAAATGGAACATAATGGAATACTCGTCCATAAAGAACGCCGCCTACAGGCGTTGCAGCCTTTGTCTTGATGAGAAGATGTGCATCTTAAAAGCAAATAAAGCTAATCTGTTAAATAAAAGATCTGAACTAATATTGAAGGCTATGTGTAGTACAGAGTTATTATTCAGTCTACCTGAGGAGCGCATTAATCGTGAAACACCGTGTGTAGACGGTTGTGTTCTATTAATATTATAATATATCTGTCTCTTATACACATCTAGATGTGTATAAGAGACAGGATTTTTCCACTTCCTTAGAAATTTCCGGAGTGGGGTCCTCTGTGAGCTTCCGATAGTGAAGAGGATTGTTTTATATA